AAAAAGAAAAAAAAAAATAAAAAATAAAAAAAAAATGCTAAAATGACACATTGATGATTTTCAGATTCCCAGTGCATGTGGGAGTGGATTCGGAACGTTGCAGCTCATACTATACGCAATGTACCACAAAAACAAAGGTCAGACGAAAAAATCGACGGCTGACGATCAGGCGACTGATGAGAAGATTGATAGTGTGAAAATCCAAAAAGAAAAGCCATCCAACGGTCACCAATCACAAGATGAGCAAGTATAAGCCACAAAGTACCAAGAATTAATAAGCTTCTAACTTGGTCATTTTGTTTGGTGGAGATTTTGTATAATTATAGCTATATGTAATGAAAACTTATATTTATATATTGGCTCCACTATATGCTATATGCTTGTTGTATATAGAAGGTTAGTTCCACTATGGAGCCAACTGTTGGTTTCATAACAAAATTATTGGCTATTATATGCACAAATTTGCTTCTTAAGTTAATTAAGGAGCTTTAACTTGATGTTAATTGGACTTTTTTTACTTTGTTAGCTCACTTTTTTCCACATCCTTAACTCTTTTAATTAGTGTGATGTAATGTTATGAACTCATTAAGTCAAAGTTGGGCCTATCTTCCAATTTCTAGTTGATATCATCAATGGTCCCAATACAGTGAAAGTTAATTAATAATGCATAACTCATGAGGTTCATTTAAAGCTAGCCAAGAACAAAATTTTGTGTGGATGCTAAATTTTGGAAGAGAATTGTTTATATTTTAGGAAAATCCGAAAAAACATTTGTCATAAATGCTAACAGCGCAATTGCACATTACTTGTGCTTGAGTGACAAACACACATACATACTCATCAACAAAGCTTCAAACCAAGTGAGTTAAGAAGAGCCCTCTTGTACCAAGGGCAGCTCGAATTTTCGAAAGATCAATTTCTAAATGTAACATTCAAAGATCCTTCAAGGCTATTATCTCATCAACTTTGCTTATTTTCTATTATTTATATTTAATCTGTTGTTAATTTCGTCTCCAGATTGCTACGATACACACCATAAACATACATGGAATCCAATGGTCCCAATGAAAACTCCCCGTTTCAATACTACGCACGACAAGGAAGGACAAATTCAAGATAGTATTAATAGTTAATTAGGATGAGATGTACATAAACTGCAGCCTGTAGTGTGTATTAGTCTTTTTTATTTTGGTACACTACAAAAAAAAAAAAAAAATGTCATATTTTAACGGAAAATTCTACGGTAATATATTCCAATATTATAGCTTCTGTTAAAATGATTCCAACAAAAATTTCAACAGAATTATTCCGATGGAATGAGTTTTCCATTGAAATTTAGATAGAATATCATCAATCCAACCGACTATTTTTCAAACGAATTTTTACCGTCGAAATTTATGTTGGAATATTATACAATTTCCGTTGAGTTAGAGTGATTTTGTGAATATTGTATTTTTGGTATAGATAGATTTTAGTATCTTAGAAATTTGGGGTAGATTGATTTTAGGGCTTCCTTTGTATCTTTATATTCGACTCTTGTGAATCTTGGAAAGCAAGGTTTTGTGAAACGAATTGGTATTTACATATTTGTTATGGTACCAAAGCCCGGTTAAAAATTTTTCTCTCGAATTCCAAGTCTCAATCAACAGAGACTCATTTTT